AGTAGTAGTGTGTGTGTGTGTGTGTGTGTGTGTGTGTGTGTGTGTGTGTGTGTGTGTAATTAAAATCCTGTCAATATTTGTTTTGTTTTATTCTTGCAGTCAAAATACAATTCCTTTCTTGAATAGTGTAAACCACATAAACAAAGGAGATAGAACCTCATGGAACTCCACAAGTGACTGGATATGTCAGTAACTCCTTCCACCATACCTACAAGAAACAACCCCTAGCTGACTAAGTTACCTACTTGTCTATTTGATTGACTTCTTTCAATGATCTGCTCGTTTACATTGAGGGAGGGCTTCTACTGCTGGAAAGGAGAGGTGTAAGGACTCTGAAACTGTGGTTAGGGGTTGGTGTTGGAGCAGGAGGAAGACAAGAGGATTGTTTTGTGGAAGGAAGATGAGTTAGGGGAATTCAGGGTGTTGCACTATGAGGAAAGAAAATAAACCTGTAACTAGTAAGCTCTGTGCCTGCCATCATGCTAATCCCTTTGCTCCTACATTGTATTCCTTCCCCCCCAACTTTAGTCTCTTTATCTTTTCAGATTGTTCGTTTTCCCAAGTCTTCTGTGTTTGCAAAGCACCTGGCGTGTTTTGGTGCTGCTGCCAGTCTGAGTAATAATGGTGGTGGTGATGATGAATAGAAATGAATCCTAGCCTTCAGAAAGGAGCAAACAATAGAACAGCAGTTATAGGTTCTTATGCTGCCCCATCACTGTGGTATCTGAGCACCGAGCAATGTGTCACTAATATCTTTATTGGACCAACTTCTGTTGGTGGGAGAGACAAGCTTTCAAGCTACAGAGAGCTCTTCTTCGGGCCTGGGAAAGGTATTCACAGTATCCCAGCTAAATAGTCAATGTATTTAGCTGTGACACTGAGTACTTTTCCCAGACTTGAAGAAGAGTCCTTCTCTCACCAACAGAAGTTGGTCCAATAGAAGATATTCCCTCACCCACCTTTTTGTCTCAGTAATATCCTGGGAGCGACACGGCTACAACAACAGTGCACATGACTAACATCTGTCATGTGAGGTTTGATCTGAGTCTTATCTGCTCCCTATGGGAAGAATTGTGTGTGCAGTGGAGTGTTTTATTTTGGTAGGGCTCTTCATTTTATTTATGTATACATTGCTCTGTGTCTCTATTAAAGAAGTCAGGTCTGACTACTGAGATCTAGGGGCCAGAGTTCTCCAGTTTCACTCGGAGTTTTGCAGCGTCAACAGCATCAAGACTTTTGAAGAAAAATCAACAAAAATGTCACCTGAATTTTACTGATGGCCTACATTATACACTTGACATCATAAATAACTTCTGCTTGGAATACTCTCATTGAAATTGAGATTCATGTGGTAAGAAATGAGAACTCTGTCACCTACTGAGAGGGACATTTCTCAGGAATATTTGACACTGGGGGGAAATATATAGGAATAGTGATCAACTATTTATAAATATATTGATTTAGCCGTGTTCTGTGAACAGCACCGTGCCTGTGTTTAAGGATTAAATAAAGCACATATAGCAAGACAAAAAGAAAGGATTGTTATTAGCATTTCCCCAAAGATTTCAATAGCAATTGTTAATAAAATACTGCTTTTATTACTCTTAAATACTTACTACAGTATCTCCCACAGATCCCTTTGTGCAGGACATTGCACAAACACATAGTAAGAGGCAGTCTGTCACTATTTGCCGGTTACTGATAGGCATCTGGGTGCTGCTAAATTAGGGTGACCAGATGTCCCGATTTTATAGGGACAGTCCCGATATTTGGTTTTTTTTCCTATATAGGCTTCTATTACCCCCACCCACTGTCCCGATTTTACACACTTGCTATCTGGTCACCCTATGCTAAATCCACAGGGCATCCATCTGCATAAATAGGGGTCTTCTCAATGCTGGACTAAGCCAACCATTCTGTCTGAATTGGAAGGAGCTGGGATCCAGGCTCCCATTCCCAGGGTCCTTTCAGTATAGTCCCGGATTCACTGCCTCTGGGAGGGATGACTTTCTTGAGGGCAGTTTCCCTGAAATTTTCCAGGATTCCTCTTGGGAGCTGTAGAGTTGCTGTCTACTCTGTCCCAGAGCTGCCCACCAACCGTCTGACACTTCTGGTTTTTAAACCCTTATTCCAACCCTTGACATGATTGACAGGGATGGAGGGGCAGGGCCAACATGGCCCACAGCAGCTCTTTGACCCCGGTGCGGGCTTTATATACCCTGTCATGCAGTCCCTGCCCTGAGTGATTACAGTCTAGAGCCCAGATCCGACAAACACTGCTGTGAGTAACTTCAGACATGGGTGTCATGCCGCTGAACTTGGGTAAATAAGAAACAAACTGTCTGACTGCTGAGACTCACTTGTGTGTGCAAGTCTTTGCAGGGTTGTGGCCTAGGATAGCATGATAAAACTTTTCACAAAACAGTTTTCCATCAGAAAGTGTCTTTTTTTTGTCAAAATCGAAACCTTTCACAGGAATGGCTATTTCAATTACCTTTTTGACAGGAAAGTCAAAACAAATTGTTGCCACTCGTTTTGTTTCAGTCATTTTTTATCATTTTGATTGTTGTCAATCTTTATATTCTATTAACGTATGAATGTTAATATACCATTCTAGTTACAAAATATGGTAAACATATCTTACCTTTTATCAAAATGTTTCACCGTTTATTAAAAAGAAACTAGTCAACATTATCAAAACACATTTTGATAGTTCAAAATTGAAATTTTTCTGAATTTTAACTTCACTGGAAACTTTTTTGAGATTTTGTTTTTTTGTTGAGATGGATGGAAATTCCTGGGTCCAATCAGCTCTAGTTGAAACAAGCTGCAACAAGTGAATGTAAGAAACAGACTGAGAGAGTGAAGAAGGAAAGTCAACGGTATCAGCGATAAGAACTCAGTGCTTTGAGCATTGGCCTGCTAAACCCAGGGTTGTGAGTTCAATCCTTGAGGGGGCCACTTAGGGATCTGGGGCAAAATCAGTACTTGGTCCTGCTAGTGAAGGCAGGCGGATGGACTCAATGACTTTTCAGGGTCCCTTCCAGTTCTATGAGATAGGTATATCTCCATATATTTTTATTTTTTTTTAATTTATATTTACCTCATATTGTAAAAATATATCCATGTCTAGGGATTGTTACCTGATTCTCATTTACACCAAGGTCACGTCACACTGCTCAGGCAGTGTAAAGGAGCCTAAAGTGGAGTAAGTTCCAGTTATACCCCTTTAGCCTGCTAAAGCAGTGTGTCCGTGCAGATGGCATCTCCATACATGAGAATCAGACCCACTTGTTTTCATCCTATGTGGAAAAGGATTAAAAGTGGTCATTTCATTAAAAGGCTTTTTCAGTATTGGCTTTATGAAACAACATCCTATTCCTCCTTCAGGAAAAACTATTCCTCCTTCAGCTTTGTAGTTATCCTACATGGTCAGAAATAAAACTGTTGCCTCTTCCGATTGAAAGATGGTACAGTACTATTACATTATTGATTTGCAGATATTAAGGCCAGAAGAGACAAATGATGTAGTCTGACCTCCTCCATAAGCCACCCCATAGAACCCCACACAGAAATTTCTCCATCAAGCCCAGAACTTCTCGTTGAGCTTTAGCATATCTTTTTAGAAAAAGACTTCAGGTGATGAATATCCTACACACCACTAGGTAAGCCGTTCCAATGACACTCGCTGTTAAAAATGTGTGCTTTGGTTTTAGTCTGAACTTATTTAGCTGTAGCTTCCAATCACTGCATTTTGTTATGCCATTTTCTGCTAGGTCAAAGAGCCGTCTCCTATTTCAATTTTGTTTGTTCCTGATATATTTAAAGAATTCCTTCATATTGTCCTTATTGCTACAGGCCTTAGAGTTTACACTGATACCTTTAGCTTTCTTTATCAATTGTCTATATTCCCTAACAGCTGATTTGCACTCATTGCTATCAACTTCCCAATTTTTTCCATTTGTTCCAGATGGTGGGGTTTTAATGATTCTTTCTAAGTTCTACATTTACTTCCCCTCTTAACCAGGATGTTTTTTTGTAACCAAAAAAGGCTTCTTATGTGATTGCGGGATTGTGGGGAGCTGTTGGAAGGGGCGGGGAGCTTAGGCATCTAATAAAGCATTTTTAAACAATTTTCAATTAGCATTCTCAATTACCCTCCAGTGAAGTCAATATGGATTTTGCCATTGATTGCAATGGCAGCAAGACTGGGTCCCACTGATGCTGGCTATCACACTGCATGGTGATTATTTTATTATTTGTACCACAATAGCACCTAGAGGCCCGATTTAGAGCCAGAGCCCCATTGTTCTAGGAGCTGTACAAACACGTTCGAAAAGGACAGTCCTTGCCCAAGTTCTTTAGATTCTTTTCTCTGGATTACAAGTTAATGTTGTTCATCTTGAACGTAATAGAATGAAAACAATAAGAACTGAAAGGTGAGATTTGCCCTCGCTTCGTCATGAATTATAGGTTTCAGAGTAGCAGCCGTGTTAGTCTGTATCCGCAAAAAGAAGAACAGGAGTACTTGTGGCACCTTAGAGACTAACAAATTCATTAGAGCATAAGCTTTCATGGACTACAGCCCACTTCTTCGGATGCATATAGAATGGAACATATATTGAGGAGATATATATATACACACATACAGAGAGCATAAACAGGTGGGAGTTGTCTTACCAACTCTGAGAGGCCAATTAATTAAGAGAAAAAAAACTTTTGAAGTGATAATCAAGATAGCCCAGTACAGACAGTTTGATAAGAAGTGTGAGAATACTTACAAGGGGAGATAGATTCAATGTTTGTAATGGCTCAGCCATTCCCAGTCCTTATTCAAACCGGAGTTGATTGTGTCTAGTTTGCATATCAATTCCAGTAGGTGTTGGATGGAAGCCTTGTAG